GCCATCAGTAACGTCCTTCCACAGAGGAACTCTGAGACCATCTTTGTGCAAGTTCATCCTTAAACCAACGCGCAGCATGTGCCTTCTACAGCTGAGCCCAGGCAGTCCACGGTGTTCGGGTGTGCTAGCCGTATCAACGGTCATTTCTGGGCTTGGGGAGGGGTTTGTTCAGATACAGATTAACGAACAGTCCCAAGGAACCAGTACCTTCACCAGGAATGTGCCTACACAATACCAATTACCAGCTGGATTTTATCCAAACCACACGGCAGGAGAAAGGAGCTTTGACGTTAACCTCCGAGGAGGAGAGATTTTTATGTTACAGACTTAAATTTCCTCTATAATGCTCATGCATATTCTTTCCAACAGTAAAACGGTCGTTTCTGCTGTACTTGGGTCCTACAGAAAAAATCAAGGGCTGCTCCTGCGAGAGTTTCCCCTTCGTTACACAGTTCACAGATAAGGAAGGCACAAGTCCTCCTGCCAAGGAACGAACAAAACATCTACTTATCTGCTGTTCTGTCTGTACCTTTCAATACCTGAAAGAGGCGCAAGGTCTCGGTGAACTGTAGGGATCTGTGGTTCACATCAGTCTCGGTCGCAGTTCGACCCGATGTTTAGTAAGATAACACCACCGCACACGAACTGCGGCTCACACCGGGCCCAGACGCACGCCGTATACACAGCTACGCCTAAACACAGCCTGCTGCCACAAATGCTTCCACACACGGATGCGATTCGCTGCAGACGCGTTCAGTCACGTTTCTGATATTCGTGGTGTCTCCAGCAGGTCATTTCTCACAAGTCTGTCGGGCCGCTGCCGGCTGCGTAGGGCTGGGGTCGGGAAGGCCGAGGCACGGCTGGAGCCGAACCCGCCGAGGGGTGCAGAGTAATACGGAAGCTCCTGCGGGTATGTCAGCCAGGAAAGGAAGGTCCAAGGAGGCGTAACGCCCGCGATGAGCCAGACTGGCAAACTGGTCGTTACTGATGCAGGGCAAACTGGCCATAGAGTCCCCACAGTCCAGTCAATCACTGGCCACAAGAGCTAACGAGGTGGATTTATTTGCAGTATGAAACCCAGCCTTCCCAAGGTAGCTCAGCTCCCAACGCCCTACTTCTTCTCAGTTACAATCAGAAAAGGAAAGCCTGTCTAGAAAACACAACTATTTGTTTCTTCAGCCCAGGGGGATTAGTGAAAGAGCAAATTCTGGATTCACTTTCAACATACATGCAACATCTTCCAGTTTGGTCCTAACTGTGATTTATTTTTCCCAGCGCTCCTAAACCCTTATGCTGCATCAGCTGGCCGAGCCTCACTCGGGAGAGTCACAAAGTGACTGTGCAAAGCCTCGCCGAAATCCACCCCTTCCGACACAGCAGGAACTATACAGTCGATTTGGCACTCCTCAGTTCAGCAATGTCCGTTTCCATGCAAGGGCTGACCGTGCATTAGCATCCTCACCTCTTCATTGCCAGCAACTACGAGCTGCTGCCTACACTGCTTAAGTGCTCGTTAGTAACGTGGTGTTTTAAACAGCAAAATGAGCGAACAAAGCACCGGTTACCACACGGACCATTCCTTATGGGAGCGTTTCATTCCTTCGCAGCAGGCACACAGCAGGGGCACAGCAGCATGTTCTCAGGGAAAACAGTTACAATCCAAGGATCTGGCACAAGTTTTGTTTGACTTCATCCAGGTATTTGTCAGGCAGCAGCCTAAACTTCAGTAAATTTTAGAGGGAAACATCAATTTGAGATTGTTGCTCTGGCCAGCTCACCCCGCTGACCGCTCGACAGTGCTCCTGGTGAGGCATCTGCTAGAGGGTCACTCCCTGACACGTTTTACTTGAGGCAGCACTGACAAAAAGCTCAGAGCTGAGCTGTCCTGCAGTGCCCAGCACCATGCTGCAACAGCCAGAACACACAGAACTCAGAACACAAATAGTAAAGATAAGGAAGTCACAAATTAATTCTTACACTGTTAATATCATAAGAACCAACTATGAAAACTTCTAATAATAATAAAAAAGCAGAACATCAGGTAGTTGTAGGGGTTTTTTGTTTGTTTTTTAATTAATCTTACAAGAGGTGTTAATTTCAAAAAACTTACAAAATATATTCAAGTGTGGAGTTACATTACTGATAAACCAGCATTTCTCTATAATGTGCTTTCCTCCAATCAGGATAGGGAAGCGTATGCATACCAAAACCCTCAGAACAAACCCTTCGTACCATCAGATAACTCTTCTCCAGGCCAAGAATCAGCAGAAGTATTGGAAGTCAATTTAGCTGCAGTATGGCAAAAGATCGAAGCAGCACAAAGGCAGTGACTGACCAAGACAGCACAGGGGGTGCACAGAAGAGATCTATCAAGCCTTCAGTAGCCACAGTTCGGTGCGTAGAAGTGCTTAGTTCTTAATTACTCAGTTGTAAAACTGATTTAATCCAATAGCGACATTATCACTCAGTTTGCGCCATAAAAATGTTTTGTGAACCAGCATTTTCAGTTAAGAAGAGCCACAGCTAATCGTGGGAGCACTGAATCCCTCCAGGCAACCCCCACCGAAGATGCTGGGAAGAGGCAGTGCGGAACTGGCACTTCTCCCTAGGCTGAAGCAACTGTGTTCTAACAGGCTTCTCCCCAAACCCCTGTGTACATACCAAGTCCAACTCCAAGTCCCCATCTCCCTGCGGAGGAGTTTAACCTGGGTTTGTGCAGCTAGGCCAGTCCGTAAGCTTCCTAAGTGACATTCCAGGTAGAGATGGCTCGTTTGGTTTGGCTGGGGGTTTTGCACTATTAATTGCAGAAGTCAGATGTAAAAGCAGCCTGAATTAGAGTAGCATGAAAATAATTGAGTAACACTTGCTTGAAACATTGCCTCATATATTCTAAATCTCCCAATCTGTCTAAAAAAAGCTTAAAAACTACTATACAAAATGAAACTTAAATAAAAATATGCATGAAGCGTTTATTCCCAGGACAACATTACCCAGACAGAAGCGGGTCCTGGTGACTGCCTCCAACAGACAAATGCTGCCGCTGCACCCAGCGCCACGTTTCAAAAGTCAGAACCTGTTTCGTGTACGCAGAGCAGAGCTGTAACACCGCCCGCATCACCATCAGCAAACGAAAACAGAAGAGCACACCACGCCAGCGTCACAGCTCAACAACGCCGCATCAGTAACAGCAAATTGAGGGTTTTCTTGCCAAACTTGTAGAAGAAATACAAACATATTGCATATTCTGTTAAGAATAAACAGTAATTAAATAGAGCAATCCTTTCTTCACTGCATACAGAAATAACAATGTATTTACAGTATTTACAGGTATAAAAAATCCTGGACTTCTTGCATTGTTTTGCAGGAATTCACATTCTTCAGGCTGAAAAAGTTACAAAACAGTTCAGAACATAAACAGCTTCTGAACAGAGACAAGTTGCTAATTCTAACTTACTGATGTACAGACTGGAGCGCCTTCAAAGGAAATACACCCACCCACGTCACCTGAACGTCCCACCGTCTGGGGACTGTATCGCAAACTCCCGACAGTTCAAGATGTTTTACATGAGTTAAACGTTGCTCATTTTCACAGTTTTCCCTGATTTGAGTCATAAAACCAAGCGAGCTGCAGCAGTAACTGCTTTTGTGTTCAGGCTGCTGCTGTCACTGCAACATGTGCCACGATCAGTTACGAGTTCCCCTTCCGCATTCTCAGCTACAAGCCAGCGTCCTCTCCCACACGCGGGTAATCGGCAGCGTACACCAGCAACGAGCTCCCGGGTTAAGATGGACAGTCTTAACCTGCAGTCTTGGCAACTATTTTAAAGCAGTTGAAAGCTTAAAAGCAAGACACACAAAATAAACCCCAGAATCAATGACTAAACATAGTAGTTAAAAAGAACATGAAAACTACAGTAAAGATCTGCATGAGGAGGTGACATTTGTGTTCAGAGCTGTTCTTCCACGTTGGAAATAATCGAAGCACCTGTTCTGAATAACAGAACTGAAGTTACAGAATAACAGTACTGAAGAGACAGACTGAAGGCGTCACATTAATGCACATTTTCAGCGTCACTTTCTTACAACAAGGTTTCCTGAAAAGACAGCAGGGACTCCAAACCTGCAGACTGTACACAGGGAAAACCACCCCAAACTCCATAGCAACAGGATTAACAGTTAAAGCAAACAGATACCCTGTAATTGACCTATTTCTTACACTCAAGACTTCAAAGAAAAATGGTCGGTTTGAACTCCTCTGCATGCACGTGACGAGCCGTTGGCACAGGAGGTCCGAATCGTTCACCATGCCCGACATCCCAACAATGTAAATTAATTACAGCCAAAGTCTGATAACCTCAAGCCAAAATGAAACCTGATGAGATTTAGTCCTTTTGTAGGACTTTTGGAACAAGGAAGGTACCATTACCTTCACAATAGATTACTTGGGAAATTACACACACAGGAGCTGTACGTGCTACTTTCACACACAGAAATCATTGTCAATCTTTTCCAGTCTCTAACAAACACGAGTAGGTTGCTTTGAGAATTCTATCTTGTCATGGTTTACTTCTACATGCCATAAGCGTCTCCTTCAAAATGGGAAGATGCTACCGTAAAACCAGATCTTTTCAAGTTGAAAAAAATCACATTTGGTCAGAATTGTAAATCAAGAGGATTTTGTGTTCACACAGTAATTTCAGCGTTACATACAAGCAGTCTGGAAGCAGCAGCACAGCTGCACGTAAGGCATTTTAGGAATGATTCCAACACAGCTCACCGCCTTCAGCATTTTATTACGTTCAACACCAGCAACCTCTCACATTTTACCATCATTTACTACTAAACTCATGGTGACTGGGATCAACCCCGAAACATCTGCAGACCTTTCCCTCACGACAGACGCAACAGGAAGAGCGAGCGTTTCCCACGCGTGGAGCACGGCTGTCCGTACAGCTGACGTCACCACGCCGAAGGAGAGACGTCGCTCCCGTAGCCGATCCTCATGAACTGGCCCAGTCCTGAAAGCGGAAACAGTCGCTGGCGATCTTCCACACTGTGTTGGTAGGCGTGGCTTGTGCTGTCAGCAAGAAGTTCTGATTGAAGTAGCGCTGCTTGTCGCCGTCAAATTTTACTATCCCGCTCGTCACCACGAGGACTGTCGTCTGGCCCTGAGTAGCTTGCTCTTCACAAGGAGATAAAGCGTAAAGAAAACCACTCAAAGACTAACAGGTAAGGAAATAGGAAGCGTACACCGTCAGTTCTGGTTATATCAGCTATAGGCCAACAACTGGGTACAGAGTCATGGAAAACAAAGCTTTTTTGCATCATTTCTCTACAGACAAGGGTGTATTCGCTGGCCAACACTGCGTTTTAATGGCTTTTCTATTTTCATCTCATGCTGTTCATTTTAGAGCACTATAACAAAGACCTGAATTATTGCTTAGAATAAGCTCTCATTATTTGAGATATACATATATATTCATATTTAGCAAGTTGCATACACTTTTTTTCCCCTCTGTTCTAGAGTGTATCTTTTTCACAGCAGAGCAAAGCAAGCATGCTTGACCACAGGCTTTTTCCTTACTCGTATTCCCAAATTATCCCTTAGAGGTTTATAAAATAACTTCTCAAATATATAAGCCTTTCTTTAGCAGCTGTGTATCAGAAATCTTAAGAACTTAACATCTGTTCTAGATGTAAAGAAACCAAAGTACATGCCCGTCGATGATCTGTTCCACATTACGCTGCAGGCTGTATCAGAGGCTACAGCAGAGAGCTCTTGGCTCAGACACTGCCAAGGACAACATAACCTGAGAAGCCAGACTTTCCATACATGAAAAAACATCACATCTGAATAGGAACTTAACAAGAAAGTGCCTAAAGTATTTTCCCAGACACAAGTGTGGAGTTGCTGCATCTCTTGATTTGCGCTTTACTGATGCACAACTTGACGTTTCAACCCTCAGTATTTTCTCTCAGCTTGTTCCAAAAGAAATATTAAGCACTATTATAATTGCAGTTCACCTTCAGCAGCTACAAACAGACTGAAAAATGAGCCAGTGGTAATATCACCTTACCGTGAACGGGCTGGCAGTCCAACACATTAACCTGGAATTCACTAGATGGCAACATTTCAAAAAATTTGTTCAGTTCCTCCTGCCCGGACATTGCGTTACCATTCCAAACTAACGTCGCTTTGTCCAAGTAAAGTCTCGTTAAAGCCTGAGGGATCACAAAAATGCGTATTTGGGGAAAATGCGTAGACACATATAGTGCACAACACAGAAAACTGTATTCTTTGAATCCTTTTGTTGTGAATTACTGTTACTCTGACAGACCAAACATGAAATATTGGTTCCTGAAATATTAGCTCCCTTTAACAGTCAGTGCTGCTGACCAGTGATTGAAACACAGTCTCCTTTGCAAGCTGCAGTGACTCACACCGCTCCAAATTTAAATACTGATGCGATTCCTTTAACAAACCCAGTGACAGAACTGAACCAGTTGCTAGCAAAAGCACAGTGCTACCTTTCCAGGCTAAGTTTATCAATAATTTTTTGGGGGGAAAGGCTGTGTGGACTCAACACAGATTATGTCAGGAAATTATAATTTCAGGTTAAAAAAAGGCAAATGAGACCAGGAACAGTGTAAACTTAAGAAGGAGGATTACAGGGGCACACCTGAACTTCCACATTGTTTCATAAGCTGTAGCAGTTGAGCAATGGCCTAACTCTCCTTCAGGCTGTCGATACATCTCTGCCTGACCTACCTAACTGCAAAGTGACTATGAAGCAGGCGAGCAACAACGCACCAGCTGATTCTAGCTATTGTTAAAATATCTACGTACCCTTCTTCTTTTATCCATTGTCTCATAGTAGATGTTGATAAATTCATCTGCCGCTCTACAAGCTTGATCCACGTAGGTTTTGAAATCCTGGAGAGAAGAAACCATACCAAATCACTTAAGCTAGGCAACTTCACGCAACATCATCTATGCAATTTCTTCACCAAGTTACTTTGGTCTTTTCCATCCTGACTGAAAGATAATGGCAACTAACGTTGAGATTGATTCCAAACCCCTTTTCTGCTTACCAGCTTTTAGCCAGGTGACAGTTGTAGCATTCACTTTGAATGCTGATATATTTATTGCATTTAAATTGTAAATATTTATGCTGAAAGATGATGGCTACAGCTGGCTGCAAGTGGCATGAACATGCAAGTATTCAGTGAAAATATTTGTTGCTGTGACGGCTGTTCTGAGATAAAGCTAAGGAACAAGAGTTACTCAGCTTATTTCTGAAAATTAGCAGGAACCCCATCACAATGCCACCATAGTATCGTTTCTTAAAATACCTTTATATATATAAAAAATGTAATAATATCTTTAACTGAATATATAGATACAAAAATGGAAGACAGAGAACATGCAGACTTGATGGATGCATTTAATGCACTATGGTTTTTAATGAATACACACCAGAACTATCACAAATTCCTCCAGAAACATTTCTATTCAGAGAAACCTCCACACTGCAAAATACTTACCAGCCTATCAAATATCACCACAAAACCAAATACTCTCATGTTATTACACACTATTCTTTTGATCTCCCTCTGTGAGGACACGAGCCTGTTCTTTACCTTCCTCAATTTGAGCCCGCGAGCCAGTTCCAAACAAATACAACAAAGTAGCCTTAATGACGCAGTATTCCAGCAGGTGCCAAGAGAAACTGGCACCAGGAGACAAAGAGTATTAGGTTTTCCGCTAAGGAAACACTGATTACAAATCAGGCTGTACTTAGAGCAGATGGCTGTTATCTCCCAGTCAGCACACGCTTGCACACACACACTTTCTAACCAGCACCCAACACACCGCCATTTATCTGCCATACAGAACGGGTGTGAGGGAGAGCAAGAGTAACACGGGGAGACTGGAATGAGCTGCTAGGGTACCCGCAGTATAAGTCAAATGGAAAATAAGCTTTGTTAGTTTTGCTACTCCAGACAAGTTCTTTATAGCCATAGCCCAGAACACATTTTTAAATTCTGGGAATAAGTTAGGTTGGAAGAAGCTTCATCTAGTCCAAACCCTCCTCAAAGTGGAGCCAACTTCAGAGTGGAGACATCCATCTCTGAGGATGGAGATTTCAGTTTCTTCGGGCTCCTGTTCCCATGTCTAATCATCTCACCTGGGAATTTTTCTTCCTAGCATTTAACAGGAAAGCCATAATTAAAAAAAAACAAACCGCCCCAAACAAAACACAACCCTCGAAGACGCCGGGGCCAACCCCAAGAAGTCAGTCGATGACACGGCCCCTGCAGCATCACACGAGCCGCCTGGCCTCGGGCCTCCGCACAAGGAGGGCGCTGGTCGCGCCCGGGAACGGCCGGGGGGGGGT